TTTAGCTTTGGTCAAATATTCTCGTCTCAGCTTATTGACTGGTACTTATAGGTCACTGAAAATATACATATTTTTGTACATACGTGTATGTATATTAGGGTGGCCCACTAGTAAGTAGCAATTTTTCCACCGCAGTTACAAAATGTAATAAATTTTAAGATTTCATATTAAGATTTTCTTCAGCTGAACCGATTTGAAAATACCTCCAAAAATCTCATAATTTTGATTAAGTCGATAAAAATGTTAAACCTTTATATGCAGATCATCTAAGCTCTTCTACCATCTGGTGTGATTTGTAAGTAAAAAAAATAATTTTAAAACTAATTTTATTTATGAAAACTCGCGTTTTGGAGATATTTTCAAATCGGCCCAGCTCAAGAAAATCTTAATATGAAATCTTAAAATTTATTACATTTTATAATTCCGGTAGGCACCCTACTATATATACACATATGTATATTTTCAGTGAAATTTTTCTGAAATATTTTAACTATACCGATTTTTTTTGTTGGACGACTGATGCACCCTAATGCCCATATATAATTTTATGTGGCACTTAAACACTTGCCACTTGAGTGAAAATTAAAACTATATTGCGGTATTATCTCACTCACATACCTTTAATAATGGAGGCTTGTAAAATCAAATTCAAACAAAAAATGCACACAAATTCACTCTGATAAGCCAGATATCCACTCCGTATAAAAGAAACCTTAAATAAAAGAAATTGCAATAAAAATTAAAAGTAGCCGCAGACTTTTATTATTTTTACTCGGCTTTTACCCATACAAACAGGAATAGAATAAGCAGAAGCAGAAGCAAAAGCAAAAACAAATATTCCATTTGTTTATTAACATTTTAATGTCGCGCACCATTTGATGGACCGCCATATTACATTCATATAATAAAAACTCCCGGCTACCAAAAAAAAAAAAGGTTGTCAAGCGTTGACATTCACCATTAAAGTATTCGATGAGTTGTAATTAAAAACCAATGCATTGTTTTTATTGCCGCCTTGCACTAAATTTTTTAGTGGACTCTATGTAAGATTTTTAATATAATGGATTTTTGTAGGTGTGCATAAATATCACTGTAGTACTCGTATGTAAATACATAGGAGTATACTACCGTTATAAGTATGTATGTATGCAAGCGTGTGATATGTCATCTCTGTGACAGTTGCACGGCAGCATTTTTCCATTTTCAACTCTATTACTTTTATTGTGCCTTTATTGTGTAGGAAGTGCGGTGGGCCACATTTGTATGTATTCGTGTGCGTAACACTTCAATCAATTCCGCTTAATTGAGTCATTTTAATGCGCGTGTGTTAATGGCTGCGAATAATCGTAAATCTTTTAGTACATTAATCATGTCATCACATTTGCGTTGCATTGGAATAGTAGCGCGGTTATCTATCATTCAAATGAATTGTTTTGAATAGCATTATAGTACGTTGAAAGGATTGCCGCCGATTTTTTTTCATTTGATAAATATTTAAATTGTAATTAGTAAATAACTTAGAATTTATTGTGTTCGTAAATTTAATTACTTCAATTAGTGGAACTATATTACTTTAGTAATGGTACAAAAATAAAATCAAGTGCTACTAGTTAGAGCAGATGGGAGAGTGGTCATGCAGATTTACTCACGCTATTTTCAGCAGATGAGAGGATCATTCGCTTAGTGAGGTTGTAAACCAAGAAGCATAGACAGGGATTATCGCTTTTCGTTTGTCCGAAAGTGCAGGGGGGCAACTTCAAATTTAAAGTGTTAACTGGAGACCCAAAGGCCCTTTTGTCATTGGTGTACTAACCCAATATACATATTTTTCAATACGACATTCCCTTTATTCTTTAAACGACAAGGTATTTTTTGATGAGAGTTAATAAGAATATTGTCTTGATATTTAGTATCGGAACTATTTCTTGCACATTTATTTGCCAAAAGTTCTTCAACGGCTCGGCGCCAGTGGGTCATTCGTAATCAGATACTGCGAGTGCCACATTATACTAAAAAAATAATATTTGCTACCCATTTCGTGTGACATATTTTGTGGCGCTATTCACTAATTTTTCGAATTCAACTTTAAATTGAACCGTCATTTATTGTTACACTAAAGGGATATCTTCACCAGACAAACATGAATGAATAAACTTAGTAGCAGCTTAACAAATCGATATTGCTTTTAGTGATGTGTTACAAACATAGATTCAGCAAAATCTTAAGCAGTTTACAAATTGCTTTAAGGCCTAAAGAGATCGTTTAAAGCATTTAGACTTAAACATCTTCAACAAAAGAAAATATTTCGTACTTCTATTTTAGTTTAAGTCCTTATTTGTTTATTGTGTATATCTATGTGTTTGCTCGTATTCAGTGTGCACTTACATACATATACTTGTATAGTAAGTGTGTCAACGATTTAGTTGGCCTGTCGATTACGAGCAAATCACTTGAAGATGCAAACATTAGCGAAAGCTCAAGAGCAAACATACTTGTGAGCTTACATGTATACATACATACATTTGTATGTATATAAGCAAATGTGTTGATATGTACTCACTTATCTATACATATCTAAGGAATCACACATACAGTCAGCGTCAAAAATAAGAATACCCTGACATTTCTTTAATTATATTTTTCATACCAAATTTTGCTTAATTTTTTTTTTTATAAAATGTATTTCATTTAACAGCAAAACCAATTCCAATTTCATATAGAAATAGGGAAAATTCAAGAAATCACAAAAAATTTCAAACTTTTCAATTTAATTTCTTTGGGTATGCGGTTTTGTAGCCCATTAAATTAGGTATAGTAAAGGGCACGTTTCAAGTCTCTAAACCGTACCGTTGATTTTTGAGATTTTTTTGTCGAGGGTCATATATTTTTATTTGGAAGAAATGCACAAACAAATTTTCATTAATTAACGGGAAATTGAAATTGAAAAAAAATACTCTGTTGAATGGACTATGTTTTTATAAAAAAATATAAATAAATTGATATGGAAAATATAAATAAATAATCATCAAAACGTTTGAGTAGTCATATTTTTGAGGCTGACTGTATTGAGCCCTAACCGCCAAAATAACGTAAGCGACACTTTTTTCAAAATTTTCTTTTTGATGTAGAAATATTCCTAGAGCATCTAGATGCATTTCTGCATCAAAAAGAAAATTTTGAAAAAATGTCGCTTACGTTATTTTGGCGGTTAGGGCTCGGTATGTTTGCCCTACGTTTAGTGCGGGCATAAATATGTAAGCATATATTATGTATATAGAAAAATTTGCTCTCTTGGAGAAAGTATAGCTCTTATATAAAAAATATATGTACATGCATACGTATGTGCTAAGAAAATACAGATATTTACAATATTCCAGCACATTTGCCACACAGATTCTTATACATATACATATGTATATATATTTGCACTAATGTAAGCTTCATCGACTGCACTTACATACTGTATATATATACATATAATATATGGTCATAAGCAATAACAGCTTAAGTCGACTTAAGAAAGAATTGAGTTATATATGCTATCGTATTCTGCAACTACTAACCCATGCGTGTGTGTAATCCCCATCTCGCCAGCTAGGCTATTTAAGAAGTTATAGAAGAAAATATTTTTGTTTCCCCCATAAGGGTAACATTACAAACCAAATGTCTAAAACTTTTTTTCTCGAATTCGGGTTTTCCGACTTAGGCGCTGATTGCTTATGACCACAGAAATATTCCTTTCACTACCGATTCACTTGCGATACTTTGGCAGCTGGTAGCTGATGTTTGCGTCGAAATGGCAATACATATTTTGTATTTGTATTTGTATGTAACAAACATATTTACATATATATTGACTGGCACTTGTTTGCCCACTGAAGCGCTAACAATGAGCTCAACGTCACTTCACTTTGACAAGCAATTCGCTAAAATCATTCCCTAAGCGACTGAAGTGCCATAGCCAAGTACTTTGGAGAAGCTGCCAGCGGCGTTGCCACATTTTATGTTGACTGCAGAAAAGGCTGATGGCCTCAGCTACTGATGGTGTATAACTTTTTATTACTTATTATTATTTAATCGGTAATCTATATAGTGTTTTTTTTTTGGAATCAGATGTTATTTTGACAGTGGCAGCTCTTACTCTCTGGAAGCCTTTTAATTTTGTTAATAATAAGAATAAAAAAACACAATAATTGTCCAAATATGTACTATTATATACATATACAGTGACTCAAACAAATGCCCACGTGTTGTTTTTTTTTTTAATATTCGTAATATTTGTCCAGCTAAATATTTTTTGTTATTTTTATATAAAAATATCGTCTAAGCTTTAATAAAAACCGTGTCAATAACAGCTCCAAACTTTATACAAAATTTAGGAAAGTTCATCAAAATTTAAACTTGTATTCTGAATTTTTAGAAAATTTTTGGGTATGCAGTTTTATAACCCATACAATTTTTAGTCTAAGGAAGTGTAAGTTTCAAACGGCTAAGAATTGCGTTGAGTTTTGAGATTTTTTTTTTGTGGTGATAGGTTTTTGCATTTTTTTCTTTAGTAAAATTTGAAATAGTTAAACTTTGGCGATTTTACTGATCTCTCTGCCTATCAGCTTCAATCGCTATCAAGCGGTCTAGAAGTTGGAAATCAGGATTTGTGCCTACGCAGGTTTTCGGAGATTCCCCAGAAACTATTGAATTCATTTTCTGCAAAAATATAGTCACTCGCATTTCGAACCGGAACGATAGTTTCAACGATCAAGTGCCTTTTGAACTAAAACTTATGAGGAACATGTTTGTCCCTGAGAGTGTCAAAAAGTTATGAATTTTTCATATCACTAATTTGCATTTCCACTACACTTTCATAAAAATTTTACTTACATACATACATATGTGCTTGCTTCGAACATACTCGTACATATATTTAAATATTCACTTAACATTCAATAACCAACAATTTTCAAAGTCTACTCTCCCTCCACACTCCACTATACCCGGCGCGCTTATTCACGATCTTCGATACGCAAAGTTACTGAAAGTCCACCAACATCTACGCCGTCTTTGAAATATGTTATCACTGCTTTTACAAAACCTCGCGGGATTTGCTCCGGCCAAGCGTCTGTGTTAAGCTGCAAATTCTTAAACCAGTATTCACCTTTTGGGAAGGGGCAAAGACCTTCCTCTGGCATATAAGGCAGATCGGTATTTTCCCCGTGAATAAGCGACGGCTGCAGAAAATCGCCGTAATATGCTTTAAAACCCTCACAAATGGCGGTGCGCGGCACACCCAAAGGCAATCGCTTGAACTGCTTATCGCCGGCTGGTGCGTTAAATATTTCTATTTGATATTTAAAGTGATCGCTAGCCATGTCCTCGCCGTATGTCATGGTACCATTAAATAGACGTTGTCGCCCAACGAGTTTTATTTCACAACGATAGATGGTTTCCTTGAAGCCATTAATGCATTCGGCGGCTTCATTTTTCACAGTATATGGTTGATCAGCCTAAAATTAATTCTAGTAAATCATAGTTTTGTTCAGAGAATTTTTCAATATTTACCTTTGATAACACACACAGGTAACAAAGGACGACAATTGCGAACGCAACGTACTTCATGCCGA